AAAAAAATCTATTGGCTAACAAAGCTATATAAGAATTCAACCAACATGGGAAGGATTAACTCTCTCAAAGCAAAACCTCAATAGACGTGTTCACATCACTCCAGAAGAACTACAAAAGGAATTAGACTAAAAGAAAGGTAACCTCCCAGAAAGAAATTGATGAGTTAAAGAGTAAATGCATCCAGTAGTCTATGTAATTATTTCAGGGAGTGGTTTACTCAGTTCTAGAGCAATGAAAAATTTATTGTATTTTTTAAAGAATTAAAAGTCAAGTCCTATTTTAACTTTAAATTGTTCCAAAACTGGTTTAAAAGCTTCTGGATATAACTAAATACAGTTGACCCTTGAACAACTCAGGGGTTAGAGGTGATGACTAGCAGTCAAAAATCCACACACTGGTATCTCTGCCTTAAAAACAAAGGAATTGACAAATACTCAAGGGTAGGAAGCTGAAATAATCTGGATAGAATTAGGACTCAAACTTTAGTTCTTTTGATTCTACATATTGTGGTATCTAAGCTAACAAAAAGTTTTCCATACACTTAGTTAATTTAAAGATCTGTAAACTGAAAATACAGGTACTATATTTACTGAAAAAAAGCTTGCACCTAAGACGACTCTTGCAGTTCAAAGTTAATTATAGTTTAAACTTTAAAAGTATTATTTCCCAAATTTCTTAGAATTTTTTTATAAAATCAAAATCAGCTATCAATATTATGACTGATAGTTGGAGATGGATGACATTTTGCAAAATAATTCAAACCCTTACTTTCCACCCATCAATTTTAAGTTTCCTAACTGTTATTCTTATCACGTTTCTCTCCACTTTCATCTATCTTATAGATAGCATCATGCCTGAACTATTATGTTATCGTAGTCTAACACAATACCTTACTTACAACAGATGCACAATAAATTAGTGATAAATAAATTTGTTCCAGGTAATTCAGAAAACCATTCTTCTAAAAAATATCGAGTAATTATCTAGTGCATATTAAATTAAATCCAAACTATTCAACTTAACCATTCAAGGTTCTCTACAATGTGGAAACAACCTAACTTCCCTAATGTTACTTTCAATTACTTCCCTCACATATACCAAACAGATTACACAAACTGAAGTATGTTTTAATCCCTAAATATAACTTATTTTCTCACCTCCTTGGCTTCTCATCAAGCCAGTGGGTCCATCTGCAGTGCTCTCCACCACCCCTTCTTTGGGCCCCCAGTGAAATTCTTTTGAAATCCTACCTACTCAGTGTCCATCAGATATGATACACTCTTTAGGGAACTTTCCCAGATTTCTCCAGCTGCATATGATCTCTTTTTCTTCCTTGATACCCATATTTGGTTTTAAGGTTCTCAAGTTTCAAATAATATACCTCTAACCTAATTATTTAATATTTCTCATACCATATTTTCATTAGTCTCTAGATTCCTATGAAACAGTAATTTTATTTTACATACCTTTCTATCACTAAAGCCCCTGGCATAGTGCCTTACATAAAGATGGTGCTCAATATACTGCTTAAGCTGAATTCTGTGAAGACACTGTTCCAAAACTATTTTCTAACAACAGTTGCTAAGGAAATACAAATACAAGAATAAATGACCCAATAATCCAAAGTAATTATAGAAGTTACTAAGATTCCAAAAATAAACGTAATAAATCAAAACATAAGAAAAATATCTGAAAATAAAAATACAGATTCAGCAATCCCTTTCAACGTGCTAGAAAAACTTCTGGAATAAGAGACTGCATTACTTAGAAAGTGGAGACCTAGAGGGAAAAAAAATCAGGTTAGAAAAATAAGATTGAAATTGACTATAAAAGCATTTATAAGACTTCTTATATTCTCAAACGAAATTTAAACAAACTATACAAATTAAAGAATCTTATAAATCTTGAATCTTGAATAATGGATACTGTAACATTAATTTCTATCTATTTTGATCCCAAGATGACTTCTTAAGATGATAGTGATGGTATATCACAGAAAGAATGTCAGTAATATAGGATTGTAGTCAGGGAAACAAACTTTTTGGACACTTTTCTTCCTCTAATTAACAAAACTACATATGTTCTAAGTATTGTAATTATAATTCAGAATGTTTAGTTTTGTATCCCTGACTTCAATCAGTATCACTGGCTATCAAATAAGTAAGTGGCATCCTTACCTCTATCCTTCAGAAGAAAATAAAGTACAGGTAGACTAGCATTTTGTGAAGGTGATCTTGTACATTTCAGAGGGTTGCAGCAAACCCTTAAGTCTTTCTCATTCATATCATGAGGAAACAGATTTTCATCACTTATCAATAAAGGTTGATGTACAACATGGGAAATTGAGAAACTTTTACACTCAGACTCCTTAAAGTACTAAATCATTGATTTCCTACCCTCATCATGGAATGACGCAAAATCAACACTTCAAGGTTATTACCCGAGTACTTCATCACATGGCATCATATGGAGAGTTTAGAACTACACTGTCCAACACAATAGTCATAAGCCACAGTAGTCTATTCAAATTTAAATTTCATTTTTTAAGTGAAAATTAAAGACCTGGCAGCTGTGTGAGCCTAATTTCAAGTATTCAAAAGCTCCATGTGATACTGGCTACCATACCGAACAGCACAGAATTATACAACATTTCTATGATCACAGGAAGTTCTACTGGACAGCAATGGTCTAGAAAGCTAATAATCTGACTTATATAGTAAAAACTGTTTGTTATATTTTACCTGACAAGTCTTATATTTTTAAACTCATGATCAACAGAAGTAGCTCCTCTTTTTTAATGTAAATTTCAAATAACTATTATTTGATTACAGTTGGAACCAGCTCTTATACCTTATA